AAWTWRSMAAAAATCWGYTAAAAYAMTRCTTAAAATGTTCATTTTATCAGAGGAAAAGCTGTGAGGAGGGGAAAGATAGCTGGAAAAGTTGAAATTARCAYAAAATGCAGAAAGAGCATGTTTGTAAATAACTAGCTGAAAAGGCAAAAAACAGCTAAAATTAGCAAAAATCTGTTAAAATAATGCTTAAAATGTTCATTTTATCAGAGGAAAAGCTGTGAGGAGGGGAAAGATAGCTGGAAAAGTTGAAATTAACATAAAATGCAGAAAGAGCATGTTTGTAAATAACTAGCTGAAAAGGCAAAAAACAGCTAAAATTAGCAAAAAATCTGTTAAAATAATGCTTAAAATGTTCATTTTATCAGAGGAAAAGCTGTGAGGAGGGGAAAGATAGCTGGAAAAGTTGAAATTAGCACAAAATACAGAAGGAGCACATTTGTAAATAACTAACTAAAAAGGCCAAAAACAGCTGAGATCAGCAAAAATGAGCTAAAAGAAGCTTAAAAAGTTTATTTATTAGAGGAATAGCTGAGAGGAGCAGAAAGAGCTGAAAATTGAGGAAAAAATCTAAACTTGGCTGACAGAATCAGAACAAAAGGAAAAGTSCAGTGGTTTCATGAACATTTTAAAGGGTTTTAATGATATTGAAGATAACACTGTTTATTTTCAATGAGAAAAAAATGGCAGAAAAAGGTAAATAGCTGAAAAAGTATAAACTGCTGAAATACTAAAAGTCATAGCATCCATGGCATAAATGAGCTAAACGTTTTGATATGTGAATTGTTGAAACAGCACCGAGTTAAATGCCGAAAATCTTCAGGAAGAAAAATGTCTCCATAATTCACACAATTATATAGAGGTACAAAAATATTTTTTAACATTTTAAAACAGGACGTCCGTCTGCAGCTCTTGTCAGATTTAAACACACATGTGATGATGTGATTTGCCYCGAGCAGCTTGATGTACCAACAGGTTTGATGTTTGAGGAAGGTGGTGTGTTGCCATTTGTTTGTTGTAAGTAAGTCCAACAGACCGGAGGGCGTGGTGACAGTTAACTAAAGTAATCAATCCCCTTTTCCACAGAAACTCATTAATCCCTGTTTCCCCATTAAACTCAAAAAGCAGAAAAAGAGGCTTCAGGGGTTTAAAGTTTGTAAAGCCAAAAWTCATCACAGTTGCAATAAATTAAATATAAATATATATTCTGATTTTGTTCTCCTGAGATTGTGAAGCTGATTTTTCCCGCCCGCCTGCAGTTTAGAGTTACGGTACATTTCTGTTAACTTTCTCTTCCTTCTGCTTTCGAGCCCGAACAGCTGTCTGCCGTGGATTTGCATGTCGTTCCAGGTGTGTTATCAGACTGCAGGATTATTCTGCGACACGTCAGATCTGGTCACGCAACAGATTTCTACTTTAACAGTTCCTGCCTGCACAGGAAGCGAGAGAAAAACACTCTCATTAAAAAAAACAACAACAACAAACAAATAGGTCTGACTAAAAGCTGATAATTCATTCTGTTGGGGGTTATGAGTAATCAGTATCTTACATGTTGTAGATAGCTTTCTGAATGACCTCAAATTGAAGAAATAACATTTAATACATGTGAGTGCACCTTCACAGCAGTGGTGGGCGAGGTTCCGCTAATCAGCTGAACAAAATTTTCATTTAACAGATTAGTTTTATCACTAAATTTGAAAGCTGTCAGCTAACCAATTAGCTTCTGCTAAATCAGGTTTTGCTAACTTTGTCGCCTCTAACAGCTAACAATTTAATGTCAACAGGTTTGTGTCAGTCACACCAGTCCTCAGCTCTATGGAGTCAAAGAAGTGAAACGCATGACTATCATCTTAGTGGTTAGCGGTTAGCTGTTAGTGTTAGCTTCCGCAAATCACTACGTGATCAGCTACCGCTAACTGCTAACAAATAAACTAACAACAGGTTTATGTCAGTCACACCAGTCTTCAGCATGTAACGATGACTGGGTGATTTGTYGTCTTGATGGTTAACGATAAGTTGTTAGTGTTAGCATCTGCAAATTATTACTTGTTTAGCTAATACTTACAGCTAACTGACAAACTAACAACAGGTTTGTGTCAGTCCCACCAGTCTTCAGCTCTATGGAGTCAAAGAAGTGAAACGCATGACTGTCATCTTAGCGGTTAGCTGTTAGTGTTAGCTTCCGCAAATCACTACGTGATCAGCTACCGCTAACTGCTAACTAATAAACTAACAACAGGTTTATGTCAGTCACACCAGTCTTCAGCATGTAACGATGACTGGGTGATTTGTCGTCTTGATGGTTAACGATAAGTTGTTAGTGTTAGCATCCGCAAATTATTACGTGTTTAGCGAACACTTACAGCTAACTGACAAACTAACAACAGGTTTGTGTCAGTCCCACCAGTCTTCAGGTCGAACAAGCCAAAGACGTGTGACATTTCCACTAATTTTTCAGATTTAGCATTAGCTTCCACTTTTTTTACATGTAGCATTAATGAAGCTATATTTTTTATTAGCAAAGTATRAGTTAGTGAAGCTAACTTTCAGTTTCCGTAATTTTTTTTGTGTGTTTAGCGTTAACTATCTGCAACAGGTAAGATATTAACATCACAAACTGTGCCTGTGGGTTTGGATTTACAGAAACACAAGGGTTTGCATCTCAGATTAACTTTTATTATTATCACCAATTTACATCAATAAAAGACATTTTCAAATAGATAAAAAAGTAAACGTGACAAATATTTAAAGATACCCATACAACTCCCAGTTATACACATCTTTAAAAAAATACTTCAATAAATTACATTTGACTTTTTTTTTTCAGTTAAACTCCCAGAACGAGTCACAGCTTCTTCTTCTTCTAATGTCCATAAACACGATATTTAAGCTGCATTAATGACACTTCCCTGTTTAATTAGAAATCTAATATGTACAAACATTCGGGCTATCGGTCCGTCTTCATTTCATGCCGTGCTGACTCTCGTGGTGCCGGCGGAGATCCACCTTTCGCTGGAAGCCCTTTGAGCAAATATCGCACCCAAACGGTTTGAAGCCCGTGTGCTTCCTGCTGTGGGTGATCAGGTTGGAGCTCTGGCTGAACGCTTTCCCGCAAACTTGGCATTTGTGAGGTTTTTCACCTGAAGGGAAGAGCCAAAAAAAATATACAGTTCTTGAGGCCATGAGGCTAAACACCAAAGAATCATGTCATTGTTCAGATTTGTCAAACTTATGCTGTCAACTAAAAAAAGACTTCCTTTTATAGATGTGAAGCAGGAAAACCAGATATGCAAATCTGCAGGAAATTTGCTTGAGCTTCGTTTTCTGATTTATCAGCAGTTATATTGCTCCTGGAAACAAGTGGCCTGTGGTGCACCTGGAAAGTGTTTTGTGCACAGGTATCGGAGGGTTACCTGTGTGGATGTAGGTGTGCTTCTTCATGTCCGACTTCTGGTGGAACCTCTTCCCGCAGTACTGGCAGGGGTACGGCCTCGTGTCGGAGTGGATGAGGAGGTGCGTGGAGAGCGTCGAGGAGCGCTTGAATGACTTCCCGCACATTTTGCACTCGAAGCTTTTCTCCTGGTTAGAGTAAAAAGCACAAAAAAATAAGGCAAAGGGCATGGTTCCGCTAATCAGCTAACATGTAAAAGCAGAACTAATTTTCCTTTTACCAACAAAGTCATTTCACAAATTTTATAAAAACTGTTAGCGGACCAATTAGCATCTGCTGAATTAAGATTTTGCAAACTTTAAGTCTATTAACAGCTAACTAACAAGCTAACATCAACAGGTGCGAGTCAGTCCCACCAGTTTCAGCTTGAATGAGATGAAGATGTGTGACGCAGTCTGAGTGACAGTCCTCTTAGCGGTTAGCAATTAGCTGCTAATGTTAGCTTCTGCTAAATTAGGTTTAGCCAACTTTAAGTCCACTAACAGCTAACTACCATCAACAGGTTTGTGTCCCACTAGTTTTCAGCTTGAAGGACACAAATATGTGGGAAGCAGACTGAGTGACAGTCGTCTTTTTGGTTAGCCTAGCGATTAGCTGCTAGTGTTACCTTCAACTAATTTTATTTGTTGTTTTGCTGTGCTGGTTTTATTTATTTATTTATTTATTTCACATTTAGCATTTATGAAAGCTACATTTTTATTTAGGAGATTGTGGCTGTGTCTCAATTCAGGGGCTGGATCCTCATGAGTACGTCTTTGTCGGCTGCATACATCACTCCCCCGCGCCGAGCGCTGTCCCAATTCAAAGACCCCTCCTCGTGCAGCCGAACTCTCAAAATCCGAGGATGCATCCATGTGTTGCTCACCGGCCGAGGATATCCCAGGATTCAGTGCGCGGGCAGCAAAATAAACAGAGAAATTAAAACGGTGGAGTTTTTATTTTTTTTTTAACGAGTCGGCGC